TTTGATTTAGTCTATGAGAATTTCATATAAAATAAGCACGACCGGTCCTTAGATTTAAAATCATCATGGTTATCTCATTAGAATATTTATGTTATTTGACACTCGTTTCAATGGACCCGATAAAGGGTTGCACGTGGGCGATTCATTGGGTGCACTAGAAATCTAATAGAGGTAGGTGGGTGACTAAGATAGAACATGTCATTCATTGTATACTAAAGGAGTTATCATGTTGTATTTTGATGAATGTCCGCTCAAGAAATCTATGGCCATAGTAGGAGCACACCAATATAACATAGTTGGTTTACTCCGGAGCTAAGACAGTTTGGAATCGAAGAAAACTTATATGATTATAATCGAACAAAAATTATAGCCAAGTTCGAGATCACACTCGTGATAGCTTAACATGAGGACTAAATTATCCGGTAACCATGCTCGTGAAATGTAATAATAGATTAATTAATCCTTTTAGAGAATTGGATAGTCATGATGTCTTATAAGAGGTCAATATTGATTTGTGTATTGAGAGATAAAAGAGGTGTCTTTTGTTTTTAATACATTGCCAACATATCCGAGAGCCTATTGAGTCACATGCATACGTTTAAGTATTTACATAATTAAAGAGAAGTAAAGATATTGGAAAAAGTTTTCGGTTTTGAAAGTTTCCTATTTTGGGAAGGGTTTTCAAAAATGAAAAGTTTTCTATTTTAGAAATCAGTTTCTTAATTTGAAAGTTAGTTCCAAATTTGGAACTAAATAACTTAAAATGAAACTTAGTTTCCTAATTTAGGTTAAAGGATATTTTGAAAACTTTGTTTCCTAATGTGTGCCACCTAAAATTATCTAAGTTTATTTATTTAGATAGTCTAAATTAATTAATTAGCCCAAAATGGTCTTAGGCTAGTAGGTTTAATTAAAAGCTTAAAAGATAATTTGATGGGAGGATAAACTTGAGTCGTATTGGATAAGGATGAATGTTTTATAAATAAAGATCAAAAGCCCACGTGTTAAATAACTCCTAATCCTTAGAGGATTAGGAAGCAATAATTAAGAGTCCAATAAAGACTAGTTGTCGCCCCTCTCTTTAACATAACATAAGTCATTGAAAGGATATCGGAGACCCACCAAAGCACGAAAGCTAGGATCTTTTAGAAAATGAATTCCTATTTGAAGAGTGCATAACCACATGGATAAGCTCACATTAGCTCGTCAATTTAGGATCCAATTCAGGATTTTCCTTGAGAGGTGTTGGAAAGAAATTGAAATGTAATAATATCGATTCATATAGATTTATTAGCTCTTATTTATGGTGCATAATTTCGTAGAATATAGGTAGTGGTTATGATCGATTCGATAGAAAAGAAAGAATAGCATGTATTTTTTGTTAGGTTGCAACAAAAAGACATGGAAAAAGAGAGACTTTTATGTGAGAGAAAATTTGGCAATAACAAAAAAGAAAATTAAAGCATTTAGCCCAAAGTAAAAAAAAGGAGCAAATTGTTTTCTCCCTAACCCTAAGCACATCACCTTCTCTCCCTCTCTCTGGGTTGTCGTAAAATTACCCAGATTAGATTTCTAGAGAAAAAACTAAACAAATTTAAAAAGGTAGAGCTAGCACTCTATCAATTTTGAGTACTTTTTTATGATTGCATGGATCGTATGGATAATCAATAGAGGTCGGATGTTTGGATGACTCCTTTCTTGCTAAAGAATTTAGATATGTGCTACAAGAGGTAAATTTTCTATTCATTATTTTACTCATAAATATATGGTTAGTTGATTCGAGCAAGATGATCTTGGGCCTTTTAGATGGAGAAAAATTTTTGTTTTTTTTTGTACCTTCATAGGATGTATGATCATTCTCACAACTTAATCCATAAAAAAATAATTTCAAGACCAATTGACAAATTGAGGAACAAACATCAAAAGATAAAAATTGAATGCATGCAATAATTGTGCAAAGGAAGTGGAAAATGTATGATTTCAACTAACACTTAGGGGCATGCCGTGACTTAATCCGAATGATAATTAGTAAAATTGAAAATACTTGGGGCAAGACCAAGGATCTAATAACTTGAGTCGAATTCAACAACCGGTCAAACAATGATCTCATCAAGCTACCTAGAGGGATGATAGCTCGAATAGTAAGCATTTGAGCATTGATCAAATTAGTTGAAACAATCAAACTAAAAGGAAAAAGGGCAACCTTAAGATAAGATGATAGATCACGAGTATAAGAATGGTTATCACTTTCGGGATTCAAAAAGGATTATTCACCTGGATGGAATTCTAGAATAGTTTGTGCAATATAAGAAGGTGAAGTCCCAAATTTTGGAGGAAAAAAAAAGGGGATAGCCAAGGATCAAAAGTCGTTATTAGGATTGAGAGCAATAAGATTGCATTAATCTCAATGCCAATTCCCTAGAAGAATGAAGAAGTCAAAAGATAAAAGAGAAAACACCGATGAAAGAGGTTGAATACTAGAATCTCAATAAACATAAATATACATTAAAGAAAAGTGTTTAAATTTCACAAAATATAACATAAGTAAACATGGGAGGATCTAAATGGAAAGATAGAAAACTTTTTGATGGCTAAGTTAATAGGTGAAGGAATGAAGAATAACTATTGTAAAGATACAATAAAGAAGAATGTTTTTATTAGAGGAGTGAAAGGTTCAAAAGAAGATCTATATCATAAGGTGTAAGGTTGTAAATACAACCTTGCACCCATATGAATTATTGTTCTTTTTAAAGGATAATATGGTCTTTAACTTATCTCGTCTTGTGCCACGACCTAAGTAGATATACACTTTCATTAGATGAGTTTTGTATTTTGAATTATATATATATATATTTGAGATTTGAAGTAAACGGATGTTTATGGATGAATTAGAGATGATTATATTCATCTTAAGTTTATGTTTCAATTATAAATAGAAATGAAAGAGTTTATGTTATGCCACGGAGTTGTGAAAAATTTATTAGCATTAAATGTCGAATCTTAGAAAACCTTAAATTTTAAACTCGAATAAGTAATTTCATTATGCATTGTCATAGAGGTTTAGGGTAGAGGACATAGTGTATTATCTTAAACTTTCGGGTATGAGATAATGCGGTAGCACTCTTGGCTTTAGTAGAGCGTGGGCATTATAGTCGTCCCCTAGATATACTCTTGAAAAAATTTTCGTAGAGTCAATGTTGCTAAGTTGTATACAATCCGTCATCATAAAGTTCCACCCCGGAAGATGGTGTTTATTAAGGAACGTTTGTGTTTTTTTTATTTTTTTATCTTAGCTAGATAGATCTATCTTTTGATAGATTTCTAAACATGCTAAATATTTGAGTTGAAAAAATTAATGGCAATGACAACTAAGCGAAGAATGTAAAATAGTTATTTAGTTATTTATCATTGACAACAAGAGTTTATAGAACTTGCTTCATAATAATGGATAATTTAAAATTTACATTTTTCAATGTCCTCACATATGTCAATAGACATCCTCCTTACTCCTATATTATTTTAATCGAAGATATGGCTTAAAATTTTAAAATTTGCACTCGTAGATCGTCACGTTTCTACTAAGAATATCGTTTTTATTATCAATTTTTACATAAAAGAAAGAAAAGTTAAAGAGACTACATTGATTGGAACTCAAATTTTTCCACATTTAACTTTTCTCATCACCATTTAGAAGGTGAAGTTTTACTATAAAATTAGGCATTTTAATGTAACCGTTCTTTTTCAAACAAGATTTCAACATTTTCTCTTCATGAGAACTACTAATATCAAAACCCCCAATTTGATTTTCTATACGACGAGGATGAAGATGATGAAACTACGTTATTTAAGGTTTACAAATATGAGAAAATCGAATTGAGATTTTAGGATTTTGACAAATGAAAAGATGAATTTAGGGTTTTTTTTTAGTATATAAGAGACGAGAAGAAGAAGAATTGGATTTGAAATGGGTTGGAAATTGTTTGGGGGAAGAGAACCTCACCAATAGAGAAAAACAAAGAAAAAAGAAAAAGAAAAAGGAAGAAAGGATGGTTTCTAGTTTTGATCGATAATTAGAGAGATAAAATGTTTGAATGTTTTTATACATAAGAATTTTTTTTCTTTTCCTTTTATGAGAAATTTGTTAATTTTTTTTTCCAAATGGAAAATTTGTATGACATGTGACAATTTTTTTTTTGTTACATGACAGTTTTAATTTAAAAGTTTGTCGGAAAATTGTTGAAGAGATCATATTAAGAAAAAATCAAGAGTAAAAAAATATGATAAATAAAAAGAAAAATAGAGAGATCTTGTTAAGAAAACATGAAGAATAACGAGACTTTTATGCGATTAATCCATAAATTATAAATTAGTTTATTATCTTTGAAAAACAAATTAACCTTGTTTTAAAAGCTAATTATTTAATCCCTTATTTTTAAAATTTTCACATAAATTAATTTTTTTATTTTAATAAATAAATAAATAAATAAAAGAACTGTTAAGAAAAAATAAAATATTTTAAAATAAAATAACAATAAATTGACAACGATCAATTCTCATCAAATATTAAATAATTAATTTTTAAATCAAAAGAAACTAAGTAATTCGTTTTTCCGAATAATTTACGGTTTGCTCTTGGGAATTACCAATCAGCCGCTCTTGAATGGAAATTCATTTCACAAGCAGACAAATCAGCTTATTATGGACCCCACAATCTTCTTTACCACATCATATCCAACGCGCGAGAATCATCGCCAGTCTGTGGCCCCCACATTACACATGCCCCCATTGGACTACGCAACAACCATTAAACACTATAAAAGATCCCAAAATAAATGAAATGACGATAATACCCTCGTTAAGTTTTCCTATAAATTCGAACGCCCTCTCATGCTTATGAATTCTATGTCTAAGCTATCTGTAGTTTCAAGCTAAAGCCAGAGCAAGCTACGTATTTTTATTTTCTTGCTTGCAACAGAAAATAAAATTTCTTATTTTTAGAGATGTTGGGAGTGTTTAGCAGCGCGATTATGTCGCCTCCAGATGAGCTTGTGGCAGCGGGAAGCCGGACTCCATCTCCAAAGATAACGGCGGATGCTCTGTTGAAGCGATTCGTTGACACCAACTCGTCCGCCGTGTCGGTGCAGATCGGAGACGACGCTCAGTTGGCCTTCACTCACCACAACGAGTCCATGCTGCTCCCAAGGTAAATAACAAAACGATAAAAAAAGAAGAAGGTCATTTTAGTCATCATTCTGCCACGTGTCATATTTATGCCTATGACGGTGGTTTAACTTTTATGAATGATGATGAGGATCTGCAGAGCAGTTAATTAATGGCCAAAAACGTTACTAGTAAATTAGAAATCTTTGTTTGATTGAAAGATCTTGCCCGTTGTTGGCTCCGGTCCCTGATTGAACAGAATCTAGATCGTTTTTAAACCTTTTTACTTGCCGTCTCACCGCAGTCAACATATTTTTCTCTATTCTCTTGTTTTTTCCTAGTAAATGACCAAAAACTTTACTAGTAAATTTTGTCTTCTCTATATTCTCGGCAACCGAACAAACCAAATGGAAAAACTGGCAAGGATTGTGGAGTATTTGGGGATTTAATGGATAACAGACAACAGAGATATTGCACACTGCGTAATTTATAATAAACTTAAAAAGATAAGGTACAAGAAATCACAGATGTATTATAATAATCTTATTGTTTCGATTGTGTAGAAAATAATAATAATAATAATTAAGTTTGGTATATTCTGCACTAGAGTCATCAGAGTACATCCTTCAAATTAAAAAATACGAAACTAAAACTAGATTCATTTAGATTCGCAGAAAATAGAAGTTAATTAGTGATGTGTCGCTGCTTCATTGGTGTGAATTATTTTTAAATTTTGTTTTAGTTTGGAAGAGTCTTCTTGATTTCTTGATCGTATGTAACTTAATATATTATATAGTATAGATAGAGTAGATTATCTTCTTGGAAGGGCGTAACAATTTGATGGGGATGCTGATTTTGAGACACATATTTTTGCAGTAATCCATAGTTAGTGATTACTTGGAGATTCCGTGGCCATGCTTTTTACAATCACTGGACTCGTAGGGGTAAAAAAGGAAAAAAATAAAAATAAAGTCATGGGTGGTTGGCCCATCTCTGGACTCGTAGGGGATTTATGGTATTTTGTGGGGCCAGTTATATCATGATGATTGCATGGCTGCCACATGGTTGTATATAAACTGAATCAAGTGCACCCTTAGTTTCCAAAGCGGCTTATCATACGCAATCACTGAATTTCAAGCCATACGCGTGTATAAATGTTTCTGGCAAAGCAACAGATTCTAGAGATCTGGGTTGACACGTGGACCTTTGATCACGTGGACGGACTGATCATGACATTGTCCTTTTCTATGTGAGTAACTCCTGGCATATAGATCAATTGGTCCCACCTACTGTGGATATTTGAAAATTGACCAGGGAAATATTGTAGTGGACGGATGTTATGATGATGAAATACACTTATTTTAATTCGTTATACTAAAAAAAAAATTTTATATTATTAGTTTTGTATTGAATTTATAGGTTTCTTGATTTTCTAACAGAAATAAAATAATTATTCATACCCTTCAGTATAGAGTTGATGTAAATCAGAAAGGAATACCACTTCTTTTCTTAATTAGAAAATAAGAAGAAGTTCTAGAAATGGAAATAACGCCTTACTCGATTTTGATCTGAGAAATATACTTCGCAATTGTTTAGTTAGAATTTGAGTCCTCTTGCTTGAGGGTTGAGAGAAAGCAACTTCCCTCCCTAGTTGACACAAGTGGGAAGGTTAGGTTCGACTTTTACGTTTTTTTTTTTTTTTTTTTATCGTACTGTTATTTTATTTCATTTATTCGTAAAACAAGGTGGTAGAAGACCTTTATGAATTATTATGACATCAAGTGGGTTTACCCTATCAATAATTTCTTCAGCTTCTTTTGAGGCGTGGACTGGGAATGGATAACCTGATAAGGATAAGATAACTTGGATGAGGGACCCAATGTTGGTCCCAGCTCAGCCTAATAATACGGGTTAGTTCATGAATGATGGAAAAATCTGTGGTTTTAGTAGGTGAGCTGAGATGATTGGTTAGACTTTATGGGCAAAATTGTCTCTTATGAAAATTGCACCTTTCGTCAGCCTATAGTTCAGTTGGGACTTTGTGCTAATCCTTTGCTAAGTTAAGATGAAAGGTTTCGAGTTGAGAGTGATTTGAGGATGTTAAAGAGTATTTTCCCTTGTTGCAAAAAGATACCTGTTTGTGTAACTGTCATAATTAAACTGCAAAGAAATTGGTAATTGGACAAATGTATGTATGTGCACGCCAAAACCCATCATTGCTTTTCCAATTTGTTAGAAATTACCTGGAGCTAATGTTTTTTTTTTTTTTTTTGGATGCTGAAAATGACAGATCATTTGCAGTCAAGGATGAGATCTACTGCTTGTTCGAGGGAGCGCTGGATAACTTAGGCAGCCTAAGGCAGCAATATGGCCTAGCTAAGTCTGCGAATGAGGTGGTTTTGGTCATCGAGGCTTACAAGGCTCTTCGTGATCGGGCACCTTACCCTCCTAACCATGTTGTTGGTCACCTTAGTGGGAACTTTGCATTCATTGTCTTTGACAAGTCCACTTCCACCTTATTTGTGGCTTCTGTAAGTTCATTCATGCCTAAGAAATGCCTTGGTGAAGGTATTATGTTTGGTTGGTTTCTAACTACAAGTGGGGTTGGTACATTTTAACAGGATCAATTTGGTAAGGTTCCTCTCTATTGGGGAATAACTGCTGATGGATACGTTGCTTTCGCCGATAATGCTGAATTGCTTAAAGGCGCTTGTGGCAAGTCACTTGCTTCTTTTCCTCTAGGTGGGTACCATAAAAATGGTAGTACATGCCAGTCTTTCTTCTGTGGTCCAACGACCATTGATTATTTGTATCCTTTAATCGAGTGCAACTGCAACAACGTAAAAGAAGGAATGAGAAAAAATCAATTTTTTTTTTTTTTTAAATTCTTTACAATGCCGTTGGATTTTGCAGGATGCTTTTTCTCGACAGCCGTTGGAGAACTGAGAAGCTATGAGAATCCTAAAAACAAAATCACTGCAGTTCCTGCCGAGGAGGAGGAGATCTGGGGTGCTACATTTAAGGTGACTTGTTACACTGAAAAGAAGCTAGTAAATCATAATTGATTTTCGTAGATGCACGATTCTTTAGTTGTTCATACGAATCAGTACAACTATACAATTTATTTAAACCACTGTGTGTCTTATTCTCTTTTAACAATTAGCTATATGACGATGGCATGAATTTCAGGTGGAAGGGCCAGCAGTTCTTGCAGCCACAGAATAGAAGATTGTCTTTTCTCCGCCAAAATCTAAAAAGAATCAAAATCGAAAGAAGGGAAGAGAGACTTGTGTGTGGTTGTGAATTCAACATAAGGGGCTATGTGAATAGTTGAATGAGTATGACTCTTTGTAGAATGCTAGTCCTTTAGTGTGATTGTGAAAAAATAGCTCCAAAAGCTTTGTATGTGCCTTTGTCTTAGGAGCTTCTCTATATGGCTTTCCTTTCTGTAATTTGTACAGCTATCTTTCCTAGTTTAATAAAGTTTGTTTGGTTGCTTGATGACTACAATCATATGAAATCCCATCTCCAAGAATTGTTCATCATAATCTTCTTTTCTGATTTCTCATTCGCCAATGCAACTTCCATTTGAATTTCCGCCGCAAGCTAGGAAATACATTTTGAAAAACATGGCATGAGGTTATAAGTTCTTTGTTTCAATTTGGGTTTTGGAGTTAGACAACAACATTGATGGGCCGAAAAGCGGGGGCACAGCCAATTTTTTCTAGATTTTTCATTAACATAAAAGATTTTAACGGTTGGGGACCATAGAAATGGATATGAAATGCTTTACGGCAGTATTAGAGATAATTTTGTGGAATCCTTTTGGTTATTTTTTTTCTTTGCTTTTCTTGAATGAATTTGTTTTTTTTTTTTTGACTTTCTCACTGTGTTGAATTTCCCCTCTACTAAGCCAATTTTGGTTTGCTGTTAGCATTTGATTGCGTTGGCAGGACACAAGCTGATCAGGCACTGCATTCAACTACAAGGCTTGATTCTAGCTTCAGCAACCCGTTGCTTTGAGAAAGAAACTAAAAACTGCTTTAGGAAAGTAATCTGCATTTCTGAAACCCTAATTTGACTATCAATTAGTAGTGATCTTATTGTTTGCAAAACTCTCGTCAATATTGAATTAAACAGAAAGAAAAGGATTATTGAGTTTGGGATCTTGAGACAAAATTCGCTGTCCATTTTTGCCACATTTTCCTTTCTCAATGTCGTCTGTGAACATATTCCTTGATTACGAACTATATCTATCAGTCTATCTCACTCGGAATTCAAATCTCAAAATGTCAAGTCTTCAAAGGATACATGCCACCACGATTTCTTTTCCTTTTGCTATTGTTCTACCTACCATGCTGGCAAATTAGTATCATAGATTATCCAAGTCTATGATGCTTTGGGTGAAAGGCAAGTTTAATTAGAAAAGTAAAATATAAAGGTTTTAAGCATATTGAGACCCAAGTACAGTTCGATTTTTTTTTATTAACTAATTTAAGATTTATACTCTTATACTCGTTATTGTTTTAGACCCTAATGTGCCACGCAAGCACAAGTGATAAGCTCTAACTAATAAAAACTTGCCACATAGGAATTTTTTATTTTTGTTAAAATCCAATTTAGGTCCATCATGGCACGTGACAAGTTATCATTAGTTAGAGTTTGCCACATGTGCTTACGTAGCACATTATGCTTTGAAACAACAACAAAATAAGAATAGAATTCTTAAATTAGATAGAAAAAAATTTAGGATCTCAATAAAAAAAATTCAAATTATACGGAATCTCGATATGAGTAAAACAAGGATGTAACACCCCCAATCTAAGACCTAAAAGGTTGAGAATATTACCACTCGTTAACCCACATTCAAAGTACAATGAATGCAAGCTAACAAGGAACCGTGAGTTAATCTTCATGTCTAAAATGAAATCTATGTTTTAAAAATCTAATATTAGCCAAGTAAGTCCTATACTTTAACTTAAAAGACATTATAAAGTTTTCGCGTTTGATCGATTTACTCGGATACTTGAAACTGGATTCGAGGTTATTTGCTAGTTCAAATCCTTTCTTTACTAACTAGTGTAATTCATTGAGATGTAATTCCTTATTATCAATTATTATGATATTACTTAATCTCTTTCATTTTTACTATTCTTTTTATTTAACGATTAATTAAGAAATTCTCTTAAATATTCAAGGATGCTAGCATGCAATGGGTAATTTAAAGTAACTACACTACTATCGGTATATTGTCATTTTACTATCAATATTACGGTTTATACGAGTTACTAATTTACATATAAAACTAAGTATGTCCACCTAGATCCCGAAGCCCCATCCAAGGGATCACGTCCGAGTGCACTCCTCGGAAATCAGCTACGTAGAGAAGTAATCCATAGTATCTTATTAAACTATACCACAAGGAACTATATGAGCTACGAGTCCGGTAAGTTAACGTATGTATGTAGTGTACGTGCATGTATAAAATACCGATATATGCATAATAAATCCTTTTTCTCATGTCATAAACCATTTCATAAACGAGTTTGAAAATCCTTTTTCTGTCTTTGGACATGTCCCATTTAGGTATTTCGGGGTTTTCATAACATATGTTTGGCGAACCGGACCCATCCACGAACGCGCCCTACCGAGCCTCTAAAAGTGCACATCCGCACTTGCACGGCCCCGAACCATTACCATTACCATATGAAAAACCCATGAAGCCCATTCTCATAAAAATCCTTAAAGTCATGAAAATCCGTTTCTTTAAAATACTTTCGATCGCTATCGGAAACTCATAGCATAAAATACGTTTCCATGACTTAAAACATTATTCATGAGTTTTGGCATGCATATGTATTTTAAATGACAATGCATGCTAACAATGATACTCAAGTACATGTCCTAAATGGTCGTGTAACCATGTTATGAAAACACAAATAAAATTCAACGACATAACAACATAAATAATATCAATCCGTATCAAGTAGTACAATCATCATTGGCGCATCGGTTACCATAACCACAATTCTCATCACCAATCACAACTCAAGCATAACCATCATTCATTAATCATGGAATCACATACATTATTGAAAAGAAAATAAAATCATAACACAAGAGTAAGTAAAAAATTATATTTTATTTTAGTTTCATTGATTTACTTTACATTTTAACATTTCTAAGTTATTTTCCTTATGCTCCTAACTACCCTTTCGCATTTAAGATTTACCAAATTAGGTACTAATCCATGTTCTAACTTAATTAAGTATTATTCCATTGATTACGTAGTCTAATTTCGGTTTGGGCCTTAACGAGCCTAAGGTCTAATTTTTCCTAAATCAATTTTTCTTTAGATTTTCATGAACACTTTTATTCTAAACCATCCTTTTACGTTATCTTGAGCATGAATGAACTAATTTAGGGTATAGAACTTAAAGAGTGGCTTTTAAGTGATCGGTGAATTACATGGGTAGAGACACACCCGTGTGAGAGGCCGTGTAACTCTCTACCTTCAAGAAAAACACATTTCTTCATTACACGGGCAAGGACACACCCGTGTGAGAGGCCATGTAACTCTCTCGCCTTCAAGAAAAACATATTTCTTCATTACACGGGCAAGGACACACCCGTGTGTGAGGCCGTGTAACTCTCCGCCTCTAAGAAAAACACATTTCTTCATTACACGAGCAAGGACACATCCGTGTGGGAGGCCGTGTAACCCTCCGACTTCAAGAAAAATATATTTCTTTATTACATGGGAAAAGACACACCCGTGTGGGAGGCCGTGTAACTCTCCGATTAAAAAAAAAAAACACATTTCTTCATTACCCATTTTCTTCAATTTTTAGCAAAGTTTTAATTTCTACTCATCAAAACATGATTATTGAAGTGTGAATGACCCATCAAACTAGAATCAAATTTCTTTGAACTCAAACCCTAATTTGCTTAGTTTAGGTCGGATATAATCCCAAAAATTTATGGATTTTCTTCAATTAAAATAGAATTTTTCCTTCCTAAACATTAATTCATACTCAAATAAGTCATAATCAAGTGCCAAAACACCAATTAAATAAAAGAATTTAAAACCCCTAAATTAGGTTCATTAAAAACCATAACCCTAATTTTTTTTAATTGAGCAATTAAATCAAATCAAGCAATTAAACATGAAATTGACTTGAAATTAAGCATGCTTGTAATGTAGGTGAGGTTAACTTACATAAGTAAGCTCCAAATTAGCCTTTAAAAGGTAGGTTGCTTGAAAATCCTCTTCCTCCCCTTTTTCCCTCTAAACTTGAATTAGCTCTTTTACTTTTCTTCTTGAAGGTATTCAGCTCCCAACTCGAAATTGAAGCTTAATCCACTCGATTTAGAGGGTCTAAAATTGGTTAGAATTATTTTGGGTAATTTTTAAGTGAACATTTTGTAAGAGTTTCCTTTGTGTTTTTCAATTTTTCCTCTCCTTTTTATTTTTTCAGCTCCCCTATTTATATAAAATTTTATGGAATCATTGACCTCATCTACGCCTTTAATGTGGGAAAATCGCGACTCTTAATTCAATTTTCAATCATTCATTTGCATTTGTTCTAATTTTTAGCCATTTATTCATCTTTTTATTTAACCCTTCCACCTTGATTATTTTTTTCCATAATTTTTACTGGAAGTCGGAGATACTTAATGCTCTAGGTCGGGCAAAGTTGGAAGGAAAATGATAAATTTTGGTCCTCCAAGTTTCTAGACTTTTCCATAGCCTACTCTTTTCTAAATCCCTCTCTTATGCAAAAAATCACTTCTAATCCTCCCTTTTCCATTTCTATGACTAATTTCTGACCCTTAATATTATTAACTCATTTAATTTGGATTATTAAATTTTTAATTTTATGCAATTTAGTCCCTACTTTTAAAATTCCGTACTATACTCTTCAAAAATCCAATTTATTTTCATAATAAATTCAAATATTTATTAAGGGATTTTATTTTAAATGTTTATAATTTTTGGACCTCATTTGAGCCTCTAAATTAATTATTTAGTGTGAAATTCACATCGTTTTTTATTAAAAATATTCCCTATACTTAATAAAATTAATTTAAATTTTATAGGAACTCTCACACCTCCAATATGATTATTCTATGCTCTTAAAAAAATTTCCTCATACTCTTAAGGTGCTTAATTAAATTCTTTTCCTTGAAAAATACTATTCTAACACGTCAAAATTCAAATAAAA